AATGGATTCTTAGAAATGGTTTTATATAATATGATTAAAAACCTGGAAACTATTAGAGATGTAGGAGAAAAAGATCTGTGACTCTTATCCCATGAAAGGATTAAACAATAGAAAAACTATTAAAAAAAAACCATGCTTCAAATGTGAAAAAGATGAAAATGCCATAGGAGTTGGAGTGCTTGTTGAAGTATATGAACGAATCCACTTAACTGAACCCTCTGGAAACAGGATGTGTTTGGGGAGCATATTCCTTGACTTTGCCATGATCTCTATTTACAGAATCTTAGTGGAATAAAATACTGTTGTTTATCAACTTTTACGTTTGCTTTAGAACCACAAGAAATTATGTTCTTTTGTGTGTGTGTGTGTTGCTTAGAGCATTATAGTTACACAAAATAGTTGGGTTCATTTGGACAAAATCATACATACATGGAATTTCATTTTAATCTTCATTCCCCCTTTACCCCTTTCTCTTCCCCTCCCTCCCCATATTCTCCTTCCTGGCTATACCCAGATGATCTTCCTTTTGCTTTTTTGCTTCCTTTTCCTTTTTCTTTCCCTGTTATATTTTTATATGCATGTAATGTGATTTTGTTAAATTCATTCTAAATTTCCTTCCCTTTCCCTTTCTTCCTCTCTCCCTTTCTCATTTCTTCCTTCTGCTCCACTGATCTTTCTGTATTTATGATAGTCTTCCATCCCCACCTTCTTTCCCATGTTTTGTTTTAGCTTCCACATATGAGAGAAAACATTAAACCTTAATTTTCTGAGTCTGGCTTATTTCACTTAGTATGATATTCTCCATTTCCATACATTTACCATCAAATGCCATTATTTCATTCTTATTGTGACTGAGTAAAACTCCACTGTGTAAATATATCACATTTTCTTGATCCATTCTTCTGTAGATGGGCATCCAGGCTGATTCCATAATTTGGCTATTGTGAATTGTGCTACTATAGACATTGAGGTGGCTGTATTGCAGTTGTATGTTGATTTTAGTTCTTTTGAATAAATACTAAGGAGTGTGTTAGCTGATTCTAAGTTTTTTTGAGGAATCTCTATACTGCTTTCCAGTGTGGTTGTACTAATTTGCAGTCTCATCAACTATATGAGTGTAACTTTTCTTCACATCCTCACCAGCATTAATTATTATTATTTGAGTTCTTGATAATTGCCATTCTGACTAGAGTGAGATTAAATTTTAGCATAGTTTTGATTTACATTTCTCTAATTTCTATGTTGAAAATTTTTCATATATTTGCTGACCATGTGTGTGTGTGTGTGTTTTGAGAAATGTCTGCTTAGTTCTTTTGCCTCTTTATTGATTGGGTTATTTGGTTTTTTGGTGTTACGTTTTTTGATTTCTTTATATATTCCGGATATTAATTGCCTGTCAGAGGAGCATCTGACAAAAATTTTCTCTCATTCTGTAGGCTCTCTCTCCACACTCTTGTTTCCTTTGCTACRCAGAAGCTTTTTAATTTGATGGTATCCTTCTTTTTGGCTCTTGGTTTTATTTCTTGAGCTTTAGGGGTTGTTGAAGAAGCTTGTTGAAGAAGTCAGTTCCTGCACCTAATGTGATGGAATGTTGACTCCATGTTTTCTTCTAGTAGTTGTAAGGTTTCTGGTCTAATTCCTAAATCTTTGATCCATTTTAGTTTGAGTGAGAGATAGGTATCTTATTTCATTCTTCTACATGTGGATATCCAGCACCATTTGTTAAAAAGGCTATGTTTTCTCCAACATATATTTTTGACACCTTTGTCAAGTATCAGTTGGGCATAAATATATGGGTTTGTCTTTGTGTCTTCTCTTCGATTGGTCTTCATGTATATTTTGATGCCAGTACCATGCTGTTTTTGTTATTGTGGCTCTGTAGGTATAATTTGAGATTGGGTATTTTGATGCCTCCTGAATTGCTCAGRATTTCCTTGGCTATTCTGGTTCTAGGTCTCTTATTCTTACAAATAAATTTAAGGATTTATTATTATTTTAGTTTTGTGAAGAATGTCCTTGGTATTTTGATAGGGATTTCATTGAATCTGTATATTTATTTTGATAGTATGGCCAGTGTAATGATATTAATTCTGCCTATCTAAGAACATGGAAGTTTTTTCATCTATAAGAAGTTATATTCTTTATGTTCATAAAACATTTAAAAACACTGTTAGGAGCTGGGGCTGTGGTTCAGTGGTAGAGTGCTTGCCTTGCACATGTGAGGCACTAGATTTGATCTTCAGCACCACATAAAAATAAATAAAGATATTAAAAATATACATATACAAAACAAACACTGTTAGGTATGTTGTTACAGAGAAAACATTGATGATTTCAAAAAAACATTCATCATAAGTCAAAATATTGGTAAAATCAAAAAAGCTGAATCAAAAATTGGTACTTGGAAATGTTGTAGTCTCAAACAAACAAACAACAAACCCCCAAAAGAAATTTAAAACTTATATAACAGATAATCTACAACTGTATTTTTCAATGTGGTAGCTAACACCAACAAATTTCTATTTGAATTAATTAAAATAATTCAGTTTCTGTGACGTGAGGCTCATTTCCAGTGCTTAACAGCCGCCCATGGCTAGTGGTGCCACATTGTTCAGTGCAGATACACAACATTTCAGTCCTAGCAGGAAGTTTCTTTGGTCAGCTCTGATCTAGAAAGTAGTGCATAAGAAAACACTTCAGACTTAAGGTACTTAGCTAAGCTAATATTTAAAGAAAAATGGAAATATTGGTATTATATAAAATAAAAAGAGATTTAAAAATATAAAGAAATTAGGAAAAGAAGAAAAAAGGGAGTAAGGGAAAATTTGGTAAAAATAAATGCTGAAAATAATGAGAAATAAAAAACACAGAAATATACCAAAAGTTATTAGGAAATTATTTGGTAGTAGGAAAAAGATTCTGAACAAGCTATAGCCAATGAAAGTGAAATTAAGAATACATTTATTGCCATCTTGAGATTYCAGCTGAATAATATTGACCCCTTAAAAACTAATGTTTTTTATTTGTGCTAGCCAATGATGGAAACTTTTAAATTCGTGTTTCTGAAGCTTGTGTAGTCTTTTAAAATTTTTTTTCATTTGTTCTTTTTATATATACATAACAATAAAGTATATTTTGACATTATACATATATGGAGTTTAACTTCCCTTCTTGTGGTTGTACATGCTGTGAAATTACACTGGTCGTGTAGGAAAGGTATATCTGATGAATTCAACTGTCTATCTTTTTTTAAAAAAAAAATTATTTGTTTTAATTAGTTATATATGACAGTAGAATGCATTTGTGCACTTTGATATATCATACATAGATGGGATATAATTTCTCATTTATCTGAGTGTACATGTGGCAGAATCATATTGGTCATGTAGTCACATATATACATAAAGTAATAATGTCTGTTTCATTCTACTGTCTTTCCTATCCCCATATCCGCTCCCCTCCCCTCCCATCAATCACTTCCCTCTACCTAATCTAAGGTAACTCTATTCTTCCCTAGTGCCCCCCCCCCCGCCTTATTGTGAATTAGTATCTGCATATTAGAGAAAACATTTGGTCTTTGGTTTTGTGGGATTGGCTTATTTTGCTTAGCATGATATTTTCTAACTCCAAACATTTACTGGCAAATGACATAATTTTACTCTTCTTTAAAGCTGAATAATATTTCATTGAGTGTATACATCACATTTTCTTTATCCATTTATCTATTGAGGGACACCTAGGTTGGTTCCATAGTCTAGCTGTTGTGAATTGAGCTGCTGTAAACATTGATGTGGCTGCCTCACTGTAGTGTGCTGATTTTAAGTCCTTTGGGTATAAACCAAGGAGTTGAATAGCTGGGTCAAATGGTGGTTCTATTCCAAGTTTTCTGAGGAATCTGCATACTGCTTTTCATAGTGGTTGCACCAATTTACAGTCCCACCAGCAATGTATGAGTGTACCTTTTTCACCAGATCCTCGCCAACATTTATTGTTGCCTGTATTCTTGATGATTGTCATTCTGACAGGAGTGAGATGAAATCCTGAGTAGTTTTGATTTGCATTTCTCTAATTGCTAGAGATGTTGAACACTTTTTCATATATTTGTTGATCGAGTGTATTTCTGTTCAGTTCCTTAGCCTATTTATTTATTTATATTTAATTAATTTATTTATTTATATCCAGAAAATCAAGGAGACTACTAAAAAACCTGTTAAAATTAGTGTATGTTTTAGTTAATGTAATGTAAGATAAATTTTAGAAAATAAATAGTTCTTTATTGTTGAAATAGAAAAATAAGAGTCAACAAAATATTTATGTATCCAGAAAATGATTATATCCCTAAATTTGARTTTGAGGAAAGTCAAACCAGATCTCAATAAAAATTTTCAGCCTTCCTAAAATTAACATATGAATTTAATCAATACCAGTTAGAAACCTAGCACATCATCTTAGGAAACTAAAATAAGATGATCCTAAAGTTTACGTGGAAAGACATTTATAAGAATATTCAAGAAAAATATATTTAATTCTGTTTTTATTACAGTGTCTGCATTACAGACACATGTTTATATTGTGAAGGGTGGGGGAAACAATATGCCATTTTGTTGGCCTTTTTTTTTTTTAAAGTGGGGAAAAAACTCAAAAAGCCTTAATTAACTTTAGTGTAAATTGGAATGCACAGGGAGATTTATACAGTGTTTCTTTATATATATTTTTAGCTGTTTTACTCATTAAAAGAAATAGGTTTAAGGAATATGTTATCATTAATTGATATAGAAAATTTAATAGAAAAGATTTAATGGCTTTTCATTCAAAAGTTGTAATTCCATTTTAAACTAAAAAAAAGAGTAATATTAACTTAGATTTTTTAAGAAATTTCTTGGATTTTTAAAAATACATATTAAAAACAACATAATTTATTTCAGATTTCCTGTAGTCAGAAATTCTGAAAATAATTCTCTTTCTCTTTTAAAAATATTTTCTTCCTCTGTCTCTCAAAGGTATGCAACCACTCATGTATTCAGTTCAGGAAGCATTAAATGCCAGACCATGGTGGATTCGTATGGGTACCGACATTTGTTACTATAAGTAAGTATTCTAAGAACAGAATACCAGCTTACAAAAGGATGTTTCTTGGAATTATGATGCTATGCTTTATTAAACTTCATTCAATAAAACTAATATTAGAATTTATAAGTAATAATAGTTTTTTTTTTGGTCCTGTGATTTCAAATACAATTCTGATCTTTTTGCTTCCCATACTAACACACAAATATTTATCTTATTTTAATTTCTAAAATATTTTAACCAGAGTTGTCTTTCGCAATTGACATTGACAGTTAATTTTTTAAAATATTTTTTTTTAGTTGTCAATGGACCTTTTTTAAAAAAAAATATTTATATACGGTCCTGAGAATCTAACCCAGTGCCTCACACATGCTAGGCAAGCGCTGTGCCACTGACAGAACTCCAGCCCCGGTGCAGTTCGTCTTGATGCATATAGGTGATCTACTTCAGTGAGCTAGAATAAGTGCTAGATATCATTTACTATATCTGTAGAATAATTGGATTATCCTTCATCWCCACTTTTAAATAATCTATTGCTTTCCATTTTACTCTATTTTTCATGTAATGTTTCCAGATAACTTCTACTTTTGAATCCAGCTGGCATCCTGCTTCTCTGCTATTAATCTCAATCTAGAAATTTCTGTATAGTAGATTTTGACTTAGCATTATATTTAAGTAGCATTAATATCYCATCTTTTAAGAATATTTTTAGCTTTGTCTGTTAGATGGTGACTGTTTTTTAAAATTAAACTATTTTAATGATTTATGACATGGCTTTGGATAAACCTATATCTTAAATGCTTTTTACTTGCTGGGAAAGAAATGTTTCTTGGGCTTCGTCTCAAGAAGGTTCCCCACTCCTACAGTTATTAGCAAAATAAGTAGTAAATAAGATTGGAACAGAAATAAAGGTAAAATGTAATTTATTTACATTTGAATAGATCTCATATTTGTATATTTCTSATAAAGTTGGAGTTAAGCAGTCATGACTTGGTAGTGTGCTTGGCTATATTTTGGCAGAATGATTTATAGACTGTTAAAGGGTAAAACAGTGTCAGAAAAATATTTCTTTCATGCTTCTCTACTTTTGCATAATAGAAATCATCAACCATTGAATACTTTTTCATATTRCAGAATGAGTGATCATAGCATGACGAGTTGTTCTAGTCTATATAAGGAGTTATGTCAAAGTTGTTTAGTTTAATTTTTGTTTTTTTCTCTTGGCTGCTCCAAGGTAACTCATGATCAGTTTAATTCCACAAGCATTTATTAGCCACTTCATATGTAGCAGACATTGTTTTAGTTGTTTTCATGAAACCTGAGATAGTAGAAATTAAASTGTACTTTTGCATTGTGTCTTAATTTTTTGTGTTAGCTAAGTCCTTTGATGCTTGTCTGTCTTATCTGTAGAATGAAATAAAAGTACCTTCCACTAATATATAAGCTAATATATAAGCTAATGTATGTTGTGCTGGTTTATATAATCATTCTGCTAGAGAGCTGTTATGTGGTGATTTCTAATTATATGTTAAGTTTTCATGGGAGAAGAGTTGAAAGTCTTTTKCATGTTCCTTAATCCTTAGTACCTTGATATTGGGTATCTGTTCAGGACACAGTGATTAAGTTAATGAAATCTATTTCAGTTTGAAAGTCCCTCCAATATATATGTGCATGAATAACCTAGAGGCCCTGGGTTTTCAGAAGGACTTTTTAGAAATTAAGTTTATAGAATATCTTTAATGTAAAGTCAGCAATATTTGAAGTCTTTAAAACTCCAAGTTACTTAACAATGTTTTATTATGGAATCTTCAAAGATTTATAAAAGCAGGGAATGAATGGGATAATGAATGCCCCATGTGTGCATTGTCCAGTTTCAATAGTTATCAATACATTGTAGGTTTTGTTTTAGTGAATTTTTTTAAACACAGTACCTTTATTTTATTTATTTTTTTAATATGGTGCTGAGGATCGAACCCAGTGTCTCACACATGCTTGGCAAATGCTTTTCCACTAAGCTCCAACCCCAGCCCCAACAGTGAATTTCAAAAGCAATTTCCAGATACCATATTTTATCCAGAAATAGTTACATATATATCTCTAAAAGGCAAAGATCTTTTTTAAAAAATATTTTTTAATATTGATAGATCTTTATTTTATTTATTTATATGTTGTGCTAAGAATCGAACCCAGTGCCTCACACATGCCAGGCAAGTGCACTACTGCTGAGCCATAGTCCCAGCCCCAAGACAAAGATCTTTTAAGACAGTCAAACCACAATGTCATTTTCACACCTCAGAAAAATTAAGTAAAACACTTAATATGATGAAATATTCCAATGTTCAAACTTCACCAGTTGCTTTATAAATATTATTTTGCAGTTGGCTTGTTTCAATTAGAATTCAAACAAAGATTACATATTACATTTTTTAAGTGTAAAAGAAGTTAAACATGATTTATTTCTGCTACCAAGGAACCAAAGGAATTAACAGTTATCAGAATAAAACACAAAATCATCAAATACCTGTGAAAAGTAGCTTATGTCAGCTGATATCTGCTGATATTTCCCTTGCTAATCATACATCACATATGATTGTTTTCTTCTTACCTGGGATTAAGCCCAGGGGAGTTTAACCACTGAGCTATATTCCCAGTCCTTTTTTATATTTARAGAAGATTCTCACTAAGTTATTGAGGTCGGCTTTGAATTTGTGATCCTCCTAACCTCAGCTTCCCAATCTGCTGGGATTACTGACATGCACTACTGTGCCTGGCATCACATTTGATTTTTTTTGAARTATCCTTGTAGTCCTTTTTAGTTTACAGGATTCTCTTTTCTTTTTTGTAAATCTCTAATTCATTTGTTAAAGAAACTGGAGTATTTATTATGCAGAGTTTACCATAGTTGGATTTTACCGAGTACATCTGTGGTATTAACAAATACCTCATCAATTTCTTATACATTGGCAGTTAGACTTATCAGCTTAATCAATTTCAGGTTTGATATTTGGCAAGAATACCTTGTAGGTGGTTGGCGAGTTTCTATTGCATCACATTAGGAAACAGCATCTTCTTTGGTTATTTTTTCTTTTGTAATCTTAAGATTGATTAGTCAGTTCAGATATTGGACCTGATCCATCCACCACGAAGGTATCCATCAGCCTTTCATTTAATAGTTGCAGTTRCTGATGATCATTGGCAGATTCAGATATGTTTGGTTGTTATAGAATGGGGTTCTAAAATTTTACTAATGTATTAGTTTCATTTAACCAGTTAATTGGGAAGTGATAAGTAATGTTGTTGACTAATAACATTTTGCTGCTTTGTTAGTACTAAGTCTACATAGAATATTTAAATTAAACTTTTTATAGACTGGGGTTTTTCTTTTTTCCCTGAAGTTCTATTTAATAAATTAGAAAGGAAAATYAGAACTTTTATGTGGATGAAAGAAACCTGTTTTATGCTTTTTAATGGCAGAAATCATTTCTCAAGAAGTTCAGTTGCTGCAGGTGGACAAAAGGGAAAATCCTACTATACAATTACATTCACTGTCAATTTTCCACATAAAGATGATGTTTGCTACTTTGCTTATCACTATCCATATACGTATTCAACTTTACAGGTGAGAATTCAAAATTGTTATTCTGACTATTATTGCATATATAAGTTATGTATCAGATAATTGAAGAAAAGTTGCTTTTAATGAAATACCTTAACAAAGTTTAGTGTTGAAGGTGTTAGAATTTATTGAAAATGTTAAAGAAGGATAATATAAATGTGATCCCATCTTACTGAAAAACATATGAGGAAAGTTTAATAAATTTTTTGCTTCCCATCATTTGTATATTTCTATAGTTCTCTAAGCTGATTCCCAATTTACAAATTTTAACTAGGTGAGATTTCCACTTTATTTAACCAGAACATTGAATCTCCTAGAAAACAGAATAGTAGAAAAATGTGGACACAATTTGAATTTTTCTGTAGCAAAAGATTTCATTTTGGAATCCTAGATCCAGACTCCTTAGAATATAGGGTATAAGCATTGTTTTGTGGGACTTTTAATTCAAATAATTAAATGACCAACTATAGTAGAGTTATTCTCAGAACAGAATATTAGCCTTAATGGTCAAGGATTGTGATAGTGTGATCATTTTACCAAAAAAGAAATTGGAGCAATAGGATTAGGAACAAACTTCCAAGTTATTAGCAGAAAATGAAAATTGTGGTCTGTAGAATAGAAGAGGTGTCAGACTGAGAATACAAAATGAGCCTCACAGTATATTCATAAAGGTTACAACCTACAACAAAGGTATAATGTTCAGGAATCTGTGCTGAATAATATAGTATCAGAACATATACTTCATGGCCTAGTTGTATTTTTGGGTAATTCATCCTAGGAAAACAATTATGAATGTATTTTTAAAAATGTATCTTTGGGACATTTTTATTTACCTGGTTATATATTTTTTTATTTTTTTTATTAATCTTGCCTTTTTAATGTACTCTGAATTCTTATTTTGTTTAATCCTACTACCATGATCTTTCCAGACATTATTATTGTTCTTTACCTGGACTTCTKCCAGCTTCTTCCTACTGGTGGTTCTAGGATTCACTTTTACCTTCTTTTTTCTTCCTTGGTCTCTTCCACACTGTGGCCAGAGGGCTGGCTCTTTTATGGCAAATCTCATTTTATAATCCTGTATTTAAAACTCCAGCCCTGTGTGAGTCTAAAGTTCTTACATGATTTCATTTATTTTTCACTTGTTTGCCATTTCCACATACTGTTTGAATTGTTGTTTAATAATTATTTTAAAATAGGCTTTAAAATATATTCTCACTTAAGTTATTAGCCATGGAATTGCAATTTTAATGTGCTAGACATTTTTTTTCTAATTCACAGTAAAATACATACTTATTAAACTTTTAAAAAGGGTATCTGTGTATCACTACCTRTATACACAGGTAGTGTGTATACCATGCTTTGGGAAAGGTCTTCCAGMCCTTCATTCTGTTATCAGCTTCTCTATTTCTCAATCTTGTTCCTCTGTTCTAACTATAATGAATCTTTTGGAGTTCTTTGAAGTATTCTTATTCTGCCTTATCTTATGGTATTCCTATTTATTTTCCTTTTGCCTGCATTCTTCGTTTCTGTCCCCTTCAATCATCCTTTGTATCTCATTTTAAGTATAACCTTCTCTAAAAGACCTTTCCTCACTGCCCAGAGTAGGCTAGGCTTCCTCTCCTTATTATAGGCTCTCATAGTAATAGAATCCAGTTATTCATTATTGTATCCCCAATATGTCCCACATGCTTTTTGGCAAACAGTGACTGCTTGAATCAGTAGTGATTATGCAAATGCACATAGGCAAGATGTGAGAACTAAGTATCTAAAATAAGGGATTGGACAATATATTTTTCTGAGGTGATGCAATATTCATAATTACAAACCTGTGTATATGTATAAATGATTTAGTGGCAAAATCAAATTGTAAAAAGTCATATGTACTTATGTTTTTGGTTATATATTCTGCATTTACTAGTAGTAATCTGGGTGACAGAGTTGTGGGTGTTCTAAACATTTTCTGTGGTACTCTGTTTCTTGCAGACATTTTGTAATGAGTCTGTATTGATCTTGAAATCAGGAAAATGTTAAAAAAAAAGTGTGCTGCATGATTTTTATTCTCTACCTTTAAGATTGCTGTAATAGGTCTGCAGTCACTTATAATTCTAAAATTCAGAAAGTTTTGAAAGCCAAAGACTTTTCATAGTTCAGATTGGCAAAGCCTGATCTGAACTTTTTGTGAGCTTATTTAGACTACTGATTCTACTTAAGATCTTTTCATAGGTTTTGCTACAGAAATAATAATGTTTCTAAAAGCTGATGCCCCTGACCTAACTCTGCTGGTATACCCTCTGTACCGCCTTTCTTGAATTCCTCAAATACTAATGTTGAACTACATCTGGCCTTGAGGGTTTTGGATAAGATAAGAATTGGATTTGCTTCTATTTATATGGCAATCTGGATGTATTATTTCTACACATCATAGGAAGTTTTAAAAYGATTATATACTTTGCTTTTAAATTTTTATCAAGATGCATCTTCAAAAATTGGAATCAGCACACAATCCTCAGCAAATCTATTTTCGAAAAGATGTGTTATGTGAAACCTTGTCTGGAAACAGCTGTCCCTTGGTGACTATAACAGCAATGCCAGAGTCTAATTATTATGAACATATCTGTCAATTCAGTAAGTCTCTCTTCTTCACTTAAATTATTACTTATTCTCACATATTTTTTGTTGTACATATTTTTTATGTACAGCAATAATAATACAAAGAACAGGCATCAGAAAACTTGAATTCTAATCTGTTCCTGCTACTGCTTACCCATTTGCCTACCTCTGTGCCTTAGTTTCCTTGTCTTAAAAGTGAGGGAGCTGCCTGAGATGATCTCCAAGGTTCCTTTTGAAGCTAATATTTTTTAGTTCTTATCCTTAGAAATCAAACTCAAGATAAAATACAGTAATTTTGAGAGTTCAGGTAGAAATGTGATCAATTTAAATTAAATTGAAAAATTGATAACTAATTTTATTTATTAATAAAATAATAAACAGCCAGAAACTTATTAAGGTTTTGTTAGCTGGGACTGTACTGGCACTATTTTTCTTTGCCATTTTTATTTTTTTWAAAATGCCTCACAAATTTAGATGTGGTAGGAAAAATAAGTTCTTCTAATTTTGATAAGAAGATTAAAGTATTTTCAGGAAAGAAAGAGTTTTTTTACATATGAAATTATGAATAATGAACTGAGTGATTATTTTTAGACATATTAAAATATATAGTGAAAAAAAAATTTATTTTGGTAAATCTGAGCAGATTTTTTCCCCTGTGCTTATGATAATGGGGATATGATTATATTTTCCTTCTATACCACATGATATTTGAAAAATAATTTCATATTTTAAATTTTCTCAATTACTTATTCTTTGCAAAATCAAAATTAAATTTACATTAAAGAACTAATTTTTATATGTTAGGTTAATCATTAGGAAGTAAATAAGTTGTTCAAATACTATTTATTGTTTTATGTTTGTATTACAAGCTCCTTCAAGACATGGTTTATATATTTTTTTATTTGCTTTCTCTATAGGGCCTAGTGCAGTGCTTGCTTACATATGCTACATGCAGAGTGAATTCTACCATGAATTTATATTAGAATTCACAGTTGAGAGAGACATTGTTGAAGTCCAAAAGTGAAATGTAATACACTCTTTTTGTACCTGTTCATTGTAATTTGAGATTTTATGTGTACTTTAGGAAATCGTCCTTATGTTTTCTTATCTGCTCGGGTACATCCTGGAGAAACTAATGCAAGTTGGGTTATGAAAGGAACATTGGAATATCTCATGAGTAATAACCCTACTGCTCAGAGCTTGCGAGAATCCTATATTTTTAAAATTGTTCCTATGCTAAATCCAGATGGTGTCATCAATGGAAAGTAAGTTAAGCAATAGTTACAGATTTTTTTTATAGATTATTATAGATGTCCTTTATAATTGTGTCCAGGTTAATTCAGAAGACATCTAGTGATTTTTCTAGAACAAAGAAATTTTCCAGTGGGGAATAAAACTTCTAAGTGAAAATATATTTTATATGCTAGCAGTAGTATGATATTTTAAGAATTCTATATCCAAGAGAATATGATGTCATAAAATCTCTGTCTTTGCTTGAATTGTTTTAGAAAAATCACAGTGTTAGGGTAGGCAAAGATTTTTAACACATACTTCTCATTCTCTTTTTATTTGTTAATAGTGTGATCTTAGGTTGTTCCAAGATTAAGAATCTTTTGGGGTGTCTTTCCATGATATGGAATGTGAGCCTGTTTACTTTTCCTGATAGAAGGAGGTATAGTTTCTGATAGAAGGAATTCTTTAGACTGACATTATTAGAAAATAATTACTTTTTAATTGAAGGTAGTTTATAGTCAGTTCATTAAATTTATTCTGGCAATTTGACAAGGTTTTTGTAGTGCTTTTAAAAGGTGGAGTCTAGTCCAACAGTCATGAACATTTCCAAAGATGTGGATACCATATCTTATGTATTGAGTAAGTACAAGTGGCAAGGGTATTTTTTATATTTTAGGAAGTTATTGAACTTTTTTAAAATAAAATTTCTTTTTTAGTTAATGGTTATGGAACTAAAATAACTCAAAAACATATTGGCCAGCTAGAATTCTATGTACCTTTCTTTTATCACTTTCTGATTTTTTTGCTTTAGTTTTTGTTTAATGGCTTCAATACTTAGTATTTATGAATAAGTGACAGTGTATTTACATTGTTACAAGAATATTACTTCTTATTTACTTGTCTTTCTCAGGAGAGCCTAAATAGCACAGAATAATGAATGCAATCAAGATATAGAATGTTAGTATAGCCTGTGGTTATTTTGTAGTCAGAATGGAAAATATGACCATTAATAAATTTTATAAAGTATGGAATAAAACACCAGAATTGAGAATTATTTTTTCTATAGCTTGCATGTTTTGATTATAAATTAAAAAACCTATCATAGTTAAATATATGTGACCCAAGTTCTTGCATATAACAAGTGCTCAATAAATGTTTACTTTTAATGTAAACTGAATGTAATATGTTTTCAGTCAAGCCTACTATCTATATCTACTCAAAACACTAGAATAAAGGCATAAAATTAAATTAGAAATGTACATAAGGATTATTGGGTATCAGTTTTTTATATCTTTGTGTTTACATATAGTCACCGCTGTTCTTTAAGTGGAGAGGATTTGAATAGACAGTGGCAAAGTCCAAATCCAGATTTACATCCTACAATTTACCATGCTAAGGGTCTGCTACAATACCTGGCAGCAGTGAAACGTTTACCACTGGTAAGTGGCAATGCTTGTTTTTACTTTGTATAGTCAAAAAATGTTTTTATTGATTAATGACTTAACATTATAAAATAATGCAGATTATTTTCTGGTTATTTTTTATTTTATTGTGTAATAATTTTGGTGTCAAATAGTATACTGAATTCATTTTCTTATTTTATCAAGTTGATTATTTATAATTTCTATAGGCCTTTTACTGTTTTTTTAATGTATATTGGTAACTCTTGGTTTTAAGTTTTAAATATTGAACTTCATTTTTTAAACAATACTAAAGTGACCAATTATGTCTTTCAAATTTCAAACTAGTGGAAGCTAATATTGAGTTCTTTGATCATCTCTGAAATGCTGGAGTGTACACGTGGKAAATGTGGCAGGCATGGTGTGAGACCATTCTGGACTTCATATACATGTTCCTTCTGTTTTTACCAGTTTTTGATTTTTGTTTTATTAGTGTTTAAATTATTTAATCTTCCTTTGGGAAATACAGAAAAACTTTGTTGAGGGATATAATTAACATATGAATCTTATMATTTATTTTGCATTTTAAAAATAATTCTCTTAAAAATTAAATTGAYACCTTTTAAAGTAATGTTTTTCATGAGAGCATTGTCATATTTTAGCAAATCTTTAAGACCATGGTGAATGTAGATATAGATTTGAACTATAATTGAATTTGTTACTTCTTAAATGGTGAGTGGTAGATTCAGAAGAAAAGAACTTCTGACTTGGTGTGAAATCTTCAAGTGATTGGGCAGTGTTGGAGTTAAGCAAAGGTCCTTTCCAGAACCAGATGTTATTTCTTATTAAATGGTGGTTCTGTTAAAATAGACCAAGAAATATGGAGATGTCCCTTAGCTTGATATTAACTAACTTTACTTGAAGATATGTGGATTTGAAGATTAAATAATTAAATAATAAATAATTAAAAGATTAAAAATTAAGTAATTTTTAAAATCTATTATCTTTTCAAGGTTTATTGTGATTATCATGGCCATTCTCGAAAGAAGAATGTATTTATGTATGGATGCAGCATCAAAGAGACAGTATGGCATACCAATGATAATGCCTCTTCATGTGATGTTGTAGAAGATATGGGATATAGGGTAATTACAGATGATTAATGAGTTTTGAGTTTTAAACATGTAAACTACAGAAAATAATTTTACGTATGAACTGCTCAGATTCAATAAATATTGACATCATACTGTTTTTGTTTCAGATTCTTCATTTTAAAAGTTTTTATTTTCACACATAGATTTTTCATCTATTTGGAATTTTTTAATGAGATACAGGGATCTAATCTTTTTGCCCAGGGATACCAGTTATCTCAGTACCATTTACTAGATAGTACATCCTTCCTCTGTGAATTTGATGAAGCCATCTATTATATATCTTGTTTTTACATGTATGGGTGTGTTGTGAGGCTCTCAACTACTATAGTCATTCTTGTTTCTTTCTCTTTGTATGCCACATTTTAATTATGGTAAACTTATAATTAATATTGATATCTGATAGGACAAAGTCTCTTATTTAAAAGTGTCTTTGGCTCTTTTGTCTATTTTTCTTCCTTGTGAATTCTACAATCAGTTTGTGAACAAACTTTGATGAGATTTGGGTCAGCATTTTCCTGAATCTAAATTAGGCAGGAGAGAATTATTATTATGATAATGTACAGCATTGCTATCTATGACATTGCGTATCTTTTTCTTTCTTTTATATTTTTAAATAAATATGTAAAATTTCTCCACATAAGAGTGATATTTCTGTTAGATTTTTTTCCAAATACTTAAATACATTTTGTTGCAGCTGGGAATGAGATTTTTATTTTTCTCTTGCATTTCTCCTAGTTCCCAATTGACCATTCATGTGCATAGGAAAGCTATAAATCTTTTATAAATCTTTTATAAAAAGATTACATATCAGAATGACATTGAGTTTCTTAATAGCAACATTAGAAGCAAAATCTCTGTGGAGCAAAACTTTCAGTTCTCAGCTAGATTTCCAACCTATAAATTTTATAATATAACCTGTCAATAAATGTAAAAGTAAAAAAGTATTCTCAGATATTGAAAAGTCTCAGAAATTTGCCTTACAAATAATTTTTCTCTAGAAGACACCATAAGATATTCTTGCCAGAATCAAGGAGTATTCTGAGAAAGAAGGTGGTTAAATTCAAGCGAAAGACAAGGCCCAGAATAAAGGTGTTTCSGGAGCCTCAGTATATATCTGAAATGCCCGATGTGCCTAGCATTCAACAACTGCTACTGCTGCACTATCTTCACAGAGTTTAGAGCCTAAATAGGTTAAGCCACATTAAGTGATTAGATTAACAGAGTTTAAGGATATAAAGGAGAAATAAGGAATATGTAATGCAGACCCAGATAAACCATGTGTGAAAGTGAGAGGCCCAGAKGGGAGAAAGCTAGACCAAAGAGCACATACAGTGTTTCCATGTGTGGGTCTCTTGGAACATCAGCACCGTCACCCCACTTCTTGCTTATTATCATACTTGCTTAATGTCATATACCTCTCATAGGAATTATTACTTAGTCCCCTAAAATGAAATTAGGCCTTACATGCACAAGATTATATTTCCTTTATAACCCTAAAGAATTGTAATTTGGCCTGGCACAGGCCACCATATGCCAGGCCTGCACCACACACACCTGCCATCCAGGTGAGGCAGGAGGATCTGCAAGCTTGAAGCTAGCCTCAGCTACTTTGCCAGTCCCTAAGCAACTTTGCAAGAACATGTCTCAAATTTTTTAAAAATGAAAAGGTCTGGAGAGGGGTGTCCAAAAAAATTGTAATTTAAAATTTGGTATGATATTATTTGGTTAGTGTGTTTCCCTTTATGCTACATGATAAGCTTCATATGCCTAGCAGTTCTGATTTGTTCACTTTTGGGAACACAGTAACTATGTAGCACAAATCTTTATTCATCTCAACCATTCAATATATTTGTTTGATGAGTTGGTGGATGACAGGCAGACATGACCTGGGGAGATAAATACAAGTTATCTTTGGTCTTGGTTTTTTAAAATTTTTTTATTCTTTTCTCCAGTTTTCTTTGTTTGGTTAAATATCTGGAATTTTTTATGAAAGGAGACATAAAATGCTGCTGCAGGTTAGGTAAAATACATAAATCAGTTTTTCCCTTAAGTAATTTGTCAAGATGTTACCTGGCATTTTAGACACTACCACTCCAAATAGTTTTATGACCAGATATGTCTGGTGTTCACATTTGACACAGTTTATATTATTGTTTCTTGTCTTCAAGATTCCTAAGATGCTTTACATGTTAGTGAGCATCTTACATTTCCAAGGTTGTTGAGGGGAGTGTGAGTGTGAGTGTTGAGTGTGTGTGTGTGTGTGTGTGTGTGTGTGTGTGTGTTGTATCTATGAGAGAGAAAGTAGAATATTTCACACAATTCCATCATCATGTGTGTTATTTCTACTTGATGCTGTAACAAAATAACCAGAAGTGTGGGCTTAAAACAGATTTACTTACAGTTCTGAAGTTCTGATGCAGGTCTTTACTGGATTAAAATCAATGTGTCAGCAGGACTGCATTGGTTCTTGGAATCTATAGGGTAGAATCATAACTACCCCCCAGGCAAACAGCTCCCTGTGTTCCTAGTGTCATCATCTAGAAGGAATCAATTCAATGATCTCTTGCTTCCATTGTCACATCATCTTTTCTCCCTCCTCCTGCCTTCCTCTTTTCCCTAAGGAGGGCCCTTGTGATGACCTTGGGTCCACTGAGATTATCTATAAAGTCTCACCTCAAAATCTTTAACTTCATCACATCTGTACAGACCTTTTGCCATGTAAAGTAACATATTTTCAGGTTCTAAAGATTGAGATGTGGACATCTTTGATGGGCCATTAATCATTCTGACTACCGTACTATGGAACTCTCTTTTTTGCTGATATTTTCATGGATTAATACACATAAAAACTATCTTTGTTTTTTATGATAAATTATTGCACTTCCTTGTCCTTTTAGTACAGTATGTAAATATTTTAGAGAAATATTTTTGGGAAAAATTCCAAAAATTATGACATATAAATAGAGGACACTTGACAAAATAACTGATCACTACTTTACGAAAGTATCAAGATCATGAAGGATACAGAAAGATTAAGGAATAATCTCAGGTTCAGGAGAAATAATGGCTAAATGCAATGTGAAATTATGGATAGGATCCTGTAAYACGAGGCATTAGAAAAACTGAAGAAATTGGAATAAGACCTATCATTTAGGTAACAGCATTAAATCAACTTTAATTTTTTGTTCTGATATTCTACTATAGTTAATACATTAACATTAAGGATTGTAAAGGAAATATAAWTTTTTTGTAATGTTTTTTGCAACTTTTAAGTTTAAAATTAGTCCAAAATAAAAAGTTTAAAAAACAAACTTTTATTATTGTACTATGGTATTCACCTTATTGGAAGAAAATATGTAATTAGCTTTAATAAAGTAATATTGGCTTTTAAAGAACTTTCTGATATTTTTAAATATTATAGATAATTTTAGACCATTAATCCTGAATGAGATGACTTAGGAAGAACCTTTACTTTTTTTGGTTGACTGAATGTATCCAATACTTAATAGGCATTAGGTAAATATTTGTTGAATTAATTATATGTACAAACATTAACAACTTTATTGCCTTATTTGAACTGTACTTATAGTAGCTTTTAGTGTACTGTCATATGAGGTTTTTTTCCTCATGTAGGTAGAGATTATCATTGTAATTGTACAATTGAGTCAACTAAGGCTTCTAGTTCAGTTGACATCTTGAGGCCTTGGTGAAAAAGTTGTTTGCCTTCGGTTGGAAGTGAGATACCCTGCTTAAAGTCCTCTGTTTTTTGTTTCATCACAGTCTCTCCTATCATAATGACGCCTACACCCCATCTATTTTCAAAAAACATTAGAGTAACATACTACTGTGCTTTGAAGAACTTGAAAGCTCATTTTCTTTTTGGTGCTCTCTCCCTTCTTCCCCCTCCCCAAATAAAGTGATTAGAATGATGTAAAAATGGGAACACTTCACACACACACACACACACACACACACACACACACATAAAGTAGCTAGTGAAAGTTATCATCTTTCATTTTCTTAACACTAGTCCCTTTTACCATGTGTGTTTAAAACTTGCCTCTAAACACATCCCTCCATGAAATTATATACATACAGTATAGGGAGTCTTTGTTCTTTTATGCAGCATATAACAACTTGCTTTTTCATATGATAATACTTGTTTACTGTCTTTCCTGGTCATCTTATCAGGATCTATCTGTTAACAATTACACAAGATTTTCATTGTGCATTTTGTTTTTATTGTACTGGCACACCCAGTTGTATTTGTTCAGTAGTCTCCTGTTGGTCATTTGACTAGTACTGCTAAATTTTACTTCATCAGGATTATATAAATTAGCAATCCAAAATACTATGAGTGATAGTGTTTTTTCTTCACATCCTTACTGTATTGTACCATCTTTATATAAGTAAATTTACAAAAGAAGTTGAGTATCATGTTTGACTCTTTTTTTAAAAAAGAGAGTATTCTTGAGTTTTGCATTTGTGATCTAATTATTATTGTTTTTAAAATAAGAATTCTTTATGTATTAGAGATTTATTTTCTAATTCGTTATAATGTTTGGTAATTTAAAATTTTAATCATATTTGTTGATTTTTTTAATGAAGCATGACTTCAGATTGTTTTTCCTCAGTTGAGTATCCATTTGTGTCAATATTTAATAGATGATCACTAGTAATAATTTTTTAATACTTTCACTTTTAATTCTGAACTAGAATTACACTAGAGCTTTATCTGTTCCTACATTAGTATCACAATTTATCTTACTTTACATATGCAATCTAGATTGATATATGTTGCATTGTTACTCCATTATAGCCTTTTAAAATGTTTTTTGAAAATTTCCCAAGGTATACTTCCATATTTACACTTTCAGTTAACCTGAGAACAATTTTAGGTCATAAAATATTTTGGAGTATTTTGATTGTGATTATCTTGTATTTATTGATTACTTTAGGGATGATTGATATTTGCAGTGTTAAATCTCTGTCTTTCATGGCTAAATATTCTTCACATTTTAAACATGTTTTCATTATATTTTTAATCATGGTTTTCTTAAATGATTATATTCTGTTTACTGGTTGCTGTTCTAAGTGTGATCATTTCTTCCATGTGTTTGCTAACTGGCTACTATTTGATTAGAGCAGCAGGAAATTCTAAATTAGTAAGAGAACCSTGTTGGATGTTTGAGTAGCAGGGTTGCTATAGCAAGAAGATCCACATGGTCCTGATTTTATCACTGTGGTTTCATCAAACTTTTTTCTTTTTAAAAAGAAAAATGTAAAATTAAAGTAACCTTTTGATTTATTTTATTATTATTTTTATTTTTTACAGACTTTGCCTAAGATACTGAGCCATATTGCCCCAGCATTTTGTATGAGCAGCTGTAGCTTTGTAGTGGAAAAATCTAAAGAATCCACAGCACGTGTTGTAGTTTGGCGGGAAATAGGAGTACAGAGAAGCTACACCATGGAAAGTACTTTATGTGGCTGTGATCAGGGAAAATATAAGGTAAAATGTTTTATTTGGACTCTTAGCCATAAAAAAAAAATTGAAGACTCTCTTTTATATATACTCTCATGGTTTTCAAGTACAGTGCATTTGTCTTATGGAGTTATATGTAATTTGTGATAATGGAATTGAATCACATGCAACCTCAACAGGTGTTTTCTGTTTTTTGGTTTTTTTTAAACTAAATAGCTTGCTTGGGATCCTTAAAATACTMTTGAGTCTATTTACATTCATAATTTGTAAGAAAAGGCATTGGAATATGCACTAAAATTCTGATGACTAATTTATAAGGAGCTATAAGTGTAGTACATTATTTATGAAAATTTTCTATTGTTTTAATTGACTGGATGTAAGTATATTTTTGTGCATTTAAAATCAACACATTATACTTACAAAGCAACTAGTTTATTATATTTAGATTGTTTTAATTTTTTAAATTAACTTTTTAAATTAATTTTTAATTTAACTTTTAAATGCATATCCCTTCACTAAATTCTTTTCTTTAATAAGACTGTTCTCCTTGAGCTCTATTATAGGCTTTTGTTGGAGATAACCAAAGTTTAAATTTTACTTTGGAAATTAAAGGCATAAAAAATATTAGGTGATTTAGGATTTTTTGTTTTAAAAATTGAGGACTTCAGGTTGAATGAATTGAACCTCAGATAAGCAGTAAGCAAATCTGAATATTTATTTTTCTTTGGTTTTTATTAACTTTTGTCATACAGGTATCTATAAGGTAAAGTTGAAACATACTGGAGCTTTGATTTTAACACTATGGTCTTTCAACACTGGCAATTAAAGAAGTAGATTATGATAAATACTAGCAAGATTGTTATAGTTTCACACATGATCTACAAAGTAACATTAATCTTAAAATGTCCATCCATGTTTTTTCTCCCAAATTAGTGAAAATAATTTGCGTCATAGTAAGTGAAAATAGACATTCAAGAAATTATTTTTAGTAAAGTTTCCTATGTGATCTAAGAATAATTTTGCATTTTAACACAATATTATATTATAGTTCTGTATCAAATTTTATTAATGTAGTTATAAATTCTTTATAATATCATCAAAGTACAATTAGAGGAGAGAAAACTTTCTAATTATGTGTGTAATATTACTTTATTTCTAGGGTTTACAGATTGGTACTAGAGAATTGGAAGAGATGGGAGCAAAATTTTGTGTTGGTCTGCTGCGTTTAAAAAGACTGACATCCCCATTGGAGTATAATCTGCCTTCCAGCTTGCTTGACTTTGAAAATGACTTAATTGAATCAAGCTGCAAAGTAACTAGGTAGGACACACTCATTTTATTTTTTTTTATTGCATTGTAATATACTATTGAGCTTCATTAGAATAGTTAAGCATAGGAAGAAAATAGAGATTTGGGTAGCCAAAAGCATGTCTAATATTTTTCTAAACTGGGATAATATTTTTTAATGTTGATATTTGAATGATATTTTAATGAAATAACCTTTACTTTTTTGAATGATATTTGTAGTGATCTTAACAATTTACTTTTAGTCCCAAAATAATCAATGGAGAAATATTTCACTTAGTTAATCTTTAAATTAAGAGCACTTAGAGTCAGAGTTCATATTTCAAAGGAATTTTTATTTTGTTGATATCTATACACATCGGATAGCTGCTCAATAATGTTGTGATTATATATATTAGAAATAGCTAAATTAACCTTGCCTTTGAAAATTTATTTACATCTGCTAAATATTCTTTAAAATAGGTAGTCTTTTTCTCTTAAAATTTAGCATGAAATTTGATCAATTGTGAGCTCAGAAATAATTAAATATTATAATTCATAACCATAATGCCAGGGCTTAGCCTTTAATAGTTTGGTGTATATGTGTAAAATAGTCCCATTTTATAGAACCTTTGTGATTTTTGTTGTTAGCTATTAAACTGTTATTAGATCTGTTAGGTTTTTGTGACATGCTGTTACATATATCATTGAAGCAGTTTTATATGCAATCACACCATTATTTGGACTCCATTCTTTATAAATGTGATCTTTTAGACAGCTGATCACCTGCAGTTCTCTATTTGTCAGAGTACCTGCTGGACACTGATGGAAATGAATGAAAAGGTGTCAGTTCTTACTGATATTTAGAAGCCTTCTTTTAAGCTTTAATTCATGTATTATAAATAACCTACAATCAGTTCATGRACTTATTGTAGTTGCTTTAGATATCCTGAAATATTATTTATGATTATTAATACCTTACAGCTGTGGTTATTAGCTCCTCTGCCAGTTTTAGCCTTTAAAAGGAGCAGAACACATATTTTGAAAAGCATTTATTTTGAAGAAATGTACTGCTACACATTATGCTATGTCACATTTTAACATTTTGATAATTGTATTTCAATATAATTTGTTTTCTCTGTAATCATATTCATTTTATTTTATATATTTCAAAGTACTATTGTGAAAATGACTTCATAGGCCTTATCATAACTTTCCAAGGTTTCTGTGGCATAGAAAAGGTTAAGAACTCATAGTTCTCATCACTGTATGCATATAAAAATACAAACATAATAATAGGCAATTCTAAATTAAGACAGTTTTCCCCCTTGAAATTCTACTCTGTTTCTCCTGTTTATTGATTTATCTCATTAGTCAACCAGTCACTTCTTCCTCTGTGCTGTCATTTCTTCTATCTTAGATGAATTTTATACATACTTCTGATTTTTCCTTGACTTCTGTATCTTGATACTTTTGAGGTATACAGGTCCACAATTTCAGTTTTTCTACATCTCCTCATATTGTTACTAAGTTTATACATCTTTGGCAAGAATATGTTGGTTACTGTTTCTTCTCATTGCATTCAGCTCTAGTATGCAGTTTTAATTTGTTCTTTAACTCATTGTGTACCCTTTTGATCACTTAAGATGGTATCTGCCAAATTTCTCCATTACAAAATTAGTTTTTCCTCCTTTCTAATTAATAAGTATTTTAATGGGGATGCATTTTGCATTTGTTGGTATTAATTTCTTCAATATACATTGAACTTTGAATTTATTCATTTTTAAATGGATATGTATATATTAGACAATGATTTATATTCTGATTCAGTGAGTTTTAATCAGTTACTATTGTTATTTATATTAATGCTCAATTACCTCAGTTCCCTTCAAGAAACTTCTATGTTTTTTCACATGTCCCCATCATTCTTTGAGGATTTCCTTACTGCCACACAGGATTTCCAGGCTCATCTTTTATACGTACTTTGTCCCAAGGTTGGGATTAGTCATGTCTTCAAGACTCCCTCATTATTTTTGATATAAAATGGTATTTATATGAAAGTCTAGGTACTAGTTGTATTTATTCCTTTTTTGGTGTTACCACTTTAAATTCTCTAAGTGGATAGTGCTATTGAATATATTTAAGTATTACATATGTGAATGTATATACACATATGTATATTTATACATTCACACATAAAAACAGACATAATCTGAAAACCCTGATTTCATAGTGATACTTTCAATTTTAATCCTACACCCAAATATTTAATTTAGTCTTCAAATTTCAAATTTCTAACTCCCTTCTTTAACACTTTCACTAGCTTTAATAATTTTAAAATTTAACCAGTCTACCTGTGTATAATGTATCTCCCATCTTCTCCATTCTCTCTTGGATGCCTTCCTCATGCCTCCAGGCTCCAACATTCCAAAGAGAGGAGCTTTTTAAAAATAATTTTTGTAATCTCAATGTCTAGCATGTAGTAGCTATTCATAAGCTGATTACATTCTGCTGATGAGCCCTTACATTCAAGTACTTATTGTAGAGTTCCTGTGGGCAGAGTGTTGGGCCATACTTGCAAAGAGAGTAGAATAAATGGGAAATCAGTACTTACTTCTGAGGGAGCGGTTGGTATACTGGAAGAGGCGCAGTTACATGTGTGAAGTGATATGATGTTGGTTATGAAAGATTATGAAAAATAGTTAAAAAATAATAGTTAAAAATAGTATCTACATTTTGAGAAGGAAGAGTTGCTGAATGAATTTAAAATGACCTGAATTCATCTGAAAGTTCTGAATTTATCTGAAATTCAGATAAGTTTTAGGCTTTGGCTTGAAAAGTAATAGATGAGGTTTGGTAAAGAAATATTCCATGAATATGAAGGAGACAAAATTAGCAATGAGAAATAGACTAAATTAGGTAATGTTGAACTTAGAARAGCTATAGTAAGAAAGCATCTAGGGAAAAGTATTCACTTATATGCTAATGAATGTGGGTTTTGTAGACAAAAATGGTAATTGTGTATGTTTTTAAGCAGGGAATTATAATGGGTACATTCTGTATGTAACATTTATTAAAATGTTTAGAAGCTTATTATAGCCTGATATTTCTGTGGGGGAGGCACCACATAATGTAGTGCTTTGAGGGGAATGCAACTGCAGAGCTTTCTGGAGCTCTCCTTTATGATGGATAGTTTTAGGATCATAGGACACACACTGCTAAAGTCCAGTTATTCATTGTGCTTCTTGGTAAATGTTCATTTAAGCTGCTTGGTAAATTTTCTTTTGTTGTTAACTTTGTTTTGTTTTGGGTTTTTAAAAATTTGTTCTAATTGGTTATACATGACATTAGAATGCACTTTGACACATCATACATAAATGGAGTATAACTTCTCATTCTTCTGGTTGTACAAAAAGTAGTATCACACTGGTCATGTAATCATACACAGGATACTAACATCTGATTCATTCTACTATCTTTCCTACCACCACACCTCCTCCCCTCCTCACACTCCCCACAGCCTAATCCAAAGTACCTCTATTTTTCCCTAGCTTCCCTGAATTAGAATCCGCATATCAGAGACAACATTTAGCCTTTGGTTTTGAGGATTGGCTTATTTTACTCAGCATAATATTCTCCAGCTCTAACCATTTACCTGCAAATGCCATAATTTCATTCTTCTTTAATGCTGAGTGATATTTCATTGTGTATATATACCACATTTTCTTTATCCTGTTGAAGGGCATCTAGAATAGTTTCATAATTTGGCTGTTGGAAATTGAGCTACTATAAACATTGATGTGACTGCATCACTGTAGTATGTGGATTTTAAGTCCTTTGGGTATAAACCGAGGAATGGGATAGCTGAGTCAAATGGTGGTTCTATTCCAAGCTTTCTGAGGAATCTCCATACTGCTTCCCACCAGCAGTGTATGAGTGTACCTTCCTTCAGAGGTCCTTGCAAACATTTGTTTTGCTTGTATTCTTGATAATTGCCAATCTGACTGGAGTGAGATGAAATCTTAGAGTAGTTTTGATTTGCATTGCTCTAATTGCTAGAGATGTTGAACTTTTTTTTTCCATATATTTGTTGATCARTTGCATTTCTTCTTCTGTAACTTGTCTGTTCAGTTCCTTAGCCCATTTATTGGTTGGGTTATTTGTTTTCTGGTGTTAAGGTTTTTGAGTTCTTTATATATCCAGGAGATTAGTACTGTATCTGAGGTGAGTATGGTAAAGATTTTCTTCCATTCTGTAGGCTCTCTCTTCATGTTATTGATTGTTTCCTTTGCTGAGAAGCAGCTTTTTAGTTTGATACTGCCCCATTTATTGGTTCTTGATTTCATTTCTTGTGCTTTAGGAGCCTTGTTATGGAATTTGGTTTCTGAGCTGACATGATAAAGATTTGGGCCTACTTTTTCTTCTGTTAGGCGCAGGGTCTCTGTTATAGTGCCTAAGTCTTTGACCCACTTTGAGTTGAGTTTTGTGCAGGGTGAGAAATAGGGGTTTACTTTCATTGTTACAGATGGATTTCCTGTTTTCCCAACGCCATTTGTTGAAGAGGCTATCTTTTCTCCAGTGAATGTTTTTGGCACCTTTGTCTAGAATGATATAACTGTATTTATTGGCTATGTGACTTCTATTCTGTACCACTGGTCTACATGTCCGTTTTGGTACCTCTACCATGCCATTTTTGTACTATGGTTCTGTGGTATAAGATCAGGTATTATTATGCCTCCTGCTTCACTTTTCTTGCTAAGAATTGCTTTGGTTATTTTTAAGTCTCTTCTTTTTCCAAGTGAATTTCATGATGGCTTTTTCTATTTCTTTGAAGAATGTTATTGGGATTTTAAGAGGAATTGCATTAAATCTGTGTAATGCCTTTGGTAGTATGGCCATTTTGACAATGTTAATTCTGCCTATCCAGGAGCATGGGAGATCTTTCCATCTTCTAAGGTTGTCTTCAGTTGCTTTCTTGAGTGCTCTATAGTTTTTATTGTAGAGGTCTTTCACCTCTATTTTTTAGATTGATTACA